GTGTCCACGCGTTAGGGTTAGGGTATCGTAGTCATCTGGCACTCGCTGTACCATGTAACAGATTACGCACAACAATATAACCGTGATATGCCTCAATTACGCAGTCATGCTATTTGTGAGGAAAGCGGTGTCCCTCGTTTAAACAATTCACCAAAATCTGAGCGAATCAAGCTTATCTAAGGGGAAGCTCGGAATTTGAAACTCTTCGGCCCAAGCGATTGTGTCGATTGGCTTCAGTTGGCCCCATTGGCACCGAGTGCAATAATGTACCCCTATTTTATATGAAGGGAATCAGAAAGAACTTAGCATGCTTGAAGCAATCAATGGTGTAGCTTGACTGACATATTCTCAAGGGTTTTCGAGCGTACTGCAACCCAATCGAAATGCAGTTTTGCTGATGAAGGAAAAGGCAAAGGCATGGCGATCACGGGAACGTAGCATGCGGGTGTGGGAACGTATCTACAGTGTCCAAACTGGGATGGGCTAAGAAGGGAAACGGTCCGAAAATGGAAGGTGGGCGTCAAGGGGAGGGGAATGGGCGGCAAAAAGGGGCGTCTATCCAACGTCCGTGACAGCGGGACCTGTGGCGCTCGTTCCGCGAGCTCGCCATCTTGACGCCAGGATTCCAACAGACGGAAGGGTCCTGTGCCTCAAGGAGAAGCGGAAGTTTCCATTCTGGCTGGAGCGTAGTGGGTTCATGAAGCGTAAAGCACGGAGTGAATTACGTTCCCGTACTTCGTATGTAATGGTCACGTCTGACGCGACGCGCTGCCAGATCGGTCATAACCAACTTTCGTTGTATACATCAGGAAAACGTCACGGACTTGGACCCATACTTGGGCCCAAGTTCATGTACTTGGACTCAAGTCTGTGTACTTGGACTCAAGTCCGTGTACTTGGCCCCAAGTCTATATACTTGGGGTACTTGGGGTACTTGGGGTACTTGGGCCACAACTTGGACTTTACATGTTGACTTCAGTATACTCAGGCCTCAACTTGAGCAATTGGTGTTCTATCAGTCACACATCTTGTATACTTCTTATGTAATAATATCTATCATAGACATCCATACACTAGTTGTAAACCAGTTGGTTTTAAGTCCATAGAAGCAGCTTTATAGTCTATTAGAAGAAGGGCAATAACATGTGATAGAAGACTTCAAGTTGTTACAATGTGCTTGTTTCAGTAGTGATACAGAGGTACAATATCCAGATAATGCCCAAGAATAGTGGTATCAGTGGTGGATGTCCAAGTTCTGCTATAGTACAGGAGAGAATGGTGAAGAATTTCTCAGAGTCCAGCAAAGAGCGCTATATATCACTGCTATTCTGTGCTAGACTGTGAGCTTCTATGGTGTAGTGGTTGAACATGCTGTGTTGGACACTAAATTTGCAGGTTGTTGGTTCAATTTCTAGTGATGGCATTTTTTTTGCCGCTGCTGCACCCACTAACAAATATTGTACGCTTGACCTTGATCAAGAGCAGCTGTCCTTTGATTGACTCCCATGCATATAATCTTTATTTAATACATCTCACAGTGAACTTGGGCATGGACTTGAACAGGGACTTGGAGGACTTGGCCAAGTCCATTGGACTTGGGGTACTTGAGGTACTTGGGATACTTGAGGTACTTGGCCAAGTACCCCAAGTACCTGTACAAGTCCGTGACGTTTTCCTGATGTATGCATGTACGAATACCCCTCCTGTAGTCGCGTAGTGCTTCGAACGCATAGAGAACTCCGGGTTGCCCATGGATCATCGTGGACCATCGCCATTGCGGGCGACTCCGGCTCCTAGGACCGAGGGCGCGGAACTTCGTGCGATATCTACGACTATCGTTGGAGACTACGGTCTCTTTTGAATCATCGCAGATCTACGGATGCCACGGCAGATGCGAAGCTCATCGTTGTACGTTTTGAGCAAACAAGGTTGTATTGTCTGCAATACGAGTGCTCGGCAGCAATTAAATGGGGTCACCGTACATCATATGCAGACGAACTAAGTAGTGGAACTCAGCCGGAGACGGCCCGGCACCATGGAAGCCCAGGGGTCACAGCCTCTCGGATGAATACTTCCAAAAGAAACCCAATCGGAGCAGGCGACGTGGCTTGGCACTTGCGGTCACTTTCCATTGGTATTTTGTGCGAAGTGTTCTGTGTCTGTCTCCCTCATACGGACGTGAATAGGACACACTCATATAAGTACACAGGTACGTCCTTGGTTCTGCATCACCGCCCAGACAATGACCATGCCTCGGGTTCTCATACAGTCTCGTAAGTCCACCTATTACCATGATTCGATGTGCTACGAGCTGACTACCTGTAGCAATTGTGCCGAACATCCATACGATGATAGATACGACGCCACTGCCCCCCCGACAGACTGGCTTGCAGCCTGCGCCTCGGGCGACCGTTCGTACTCCCACCGACGTCGCTCCTCCCCCTGTCGGGAACCTTCCGGAGGCAGCTACAGGAGTCGACGAGGAGGCGCCTCCGGATGGTCTCCAGCGCATGTCCCTCGTGCAGGACTTTGGCGAACAGCCAGCGTCTCAAGTCCCCACCCTCAAGGAGGACATCATCAGCTATCGGCTCGATTGCCTCTCGGACGAAGTCGAGCGGCTCAGGCTCCTCCTCAAGAATCTTCAAAACGTATTTGAGGACAGCACCATCGAGCGCGTTAAGAACCTCAGAACAGACTTAATGACCAAGGCGGGCAATACCGAGCGTCGTTTGGGCGGGGAGATTGCCGCCTTGAAGACTCGCATTGACAACGAGCATCTCGATTTGCAGCAGCGCACTCACGATAAGTTTGTCTCCATGGAGTCGCACGTTACGCATCGCGTGCAGAAAGTCCTGGACGACATGCACAAGCGGTTCCTCGCCGACGTGGAAGCGCAAGTTGCTGCCGCCCTGCAAACTTTCCAAGAGGAGCTGAAGGTTTACGCCGCTGCCAACCAGGAGCGGTTCAACCAGATCATCCAGATGCTGCTGGATGGGCGCGGGCAGGCGACAGTTTAGAGGACTGTGGACGCCTCTGGTAAGCATGCCCCGATTTTGTACAAGCCGTGCACATAGTTGCTTATGATTCCCTAGTGGGAGCTCGCCTGCATGGACGGCGGTGCCTTGTTTCAACCCCACCTTCTTATCCCAGTCGCATCTCCCTGTACGAATACGAATTGAATCGTTTGTATGATGATGAATGATAGCGATAGGCAGACGATGTGATTAAGAAGGGGGCAGCCACACTCTAGAGCTTCAAGTCGTCCCAACAGCCCAGCATGCCGAGACTGCGGTCTTCTTGGGTTTGCGGGTAGCGTTACGCCGTGAAGGCATTCCTCGACGCCGGGACGTCCTCCATGGTCGACGACCAATCGGTTTCGATGGCAAGGGCGCGCCGGGTGCTCTCAGAGTCATGAGAAAGCAAGTGGTGTGTCCGTAGGCTCGTTCCCTACCGAGATTGGGTGATCCAGATTCACACTCCGCGCGTGAGGATCGCGTCCTGCTTTTACTCTCCGCCCTTCCGCAAAAGGTAGGACCACGTGCGTTCTGTTCGACTTGTTTCTATGTAGACGTCTGTGAACTGCACCATAGACGTCTCCAGCGCGACGGCAGCACCACGGTGCCTGACGCCCAGTGAGAACCTACTTACATGGGTTCAGTTGTATTACATCGGCGAAAATCGTGTAAGAGCGGTTGAGGTCGGGAAGTCTCGGTTCAGATTGGGCAGACCGTTTTAGGCGCTCAATCCATGTCTCTAATTGACCTTATGGTGACCGGATCGGACGTGCATGTCCTTACATTAGTTGGCACCGCGTGAAGCGCCAGATTACAGAGGTTGGGGAACACGGAGAGGATGAGCACATTACCGCCACATTCCCAGCGTGTTCCCACCACATTCCGCAGGTTTAGAGGATGTCATGGTATTAACTGCCTTCCCCTCACATTCCGACCATGTTCCCCACATATTACTTAGACATTCCGCACCCTGCGTAACATGGGATCAAATGGGATATACAATTTTGTATCTTATTATTCATATCCATTTTTGGTGCCTAGCTTGGCGCCTAGTATTCGTCCCGATATTGGCAGCCAGATTGAATTAGATCGAAATGAATATATATTCAAATGGCGACTCTCCTACGCTACATCCGGACTTCTCTATATATCATACAGACCGGCCCAATCAACCCTAACCCAATCACATCATACCCGTAGCCGCCAGCACAGCGATACTGGCTTACAATTGGACATCAGACACAGCTGAGATGGCACGCGCAATACATGCATATA